GTAGTCCTAGTCGTCGTCGTCGCTTTCGCGGCGAAGATCGTTGTCATTTTTTATTGTTCGGCGGGCCGGATCATGTTTTGTTTTCCCCCAAGGTGGGCAACCCTACACGCGAGAGGATTCGTGATTATATTTTCGCGAGAGTTGTAATAGGACTTTGTGGTTGCAATTGTCATCTTGATTGCAATCGGGGCTGTAATCTTGATTGTTGTCGTGATGTTGTCGCGATTGCAGCTGTAATCGTAGTCGCGGTTGTAGGCGCAATCGTAATCGCGATCGTCGTCGCATCGAGGTCGCAGTCGTAGTCGTAATCGTAGTCGTTGTTGTTGTTGCGCGGCGAGTGCCTCGGATAAGTACGTATTGCCACGATTGGTGGGGCTCCCGTCCGTCAAGAAGGACGTCGGGGGGATAATTCGGTTCCACTATCGGGAGGGGTCTAAAGTGTGTAGAGGCTAATGGTCTACAACCTACCCCGTCACCGTGCGCGAGCTGCGGTTCAGAGGCGCAGGATCAACGAGGAGGAGGAGGAGGGCGTCAGGGGGCATTTTGAGGGTAGTTTGGAGGCATCTTGGGAGCCTCGCGGGAGCCGTTTGTGGGCCTCTTGGGAGTTCTTGGGAGCAACGTGGTGGCCTTTTTGGGGCCTGCGGGAGGTTCCTTGGGGGCCTCATTGGGCCTCCCTGAGTGCCTTGGGGCGGAAAGCTCAACATGTCCGTGCGGGTCCCACCTCTGGACCACCTTTTTGGACCGTCCTGGAGGCCTCTTGGGGAATCTTGGCGCCCTCCTGATCTGTTGTGGGGCCACATTGGAGGCTTCTTGAGCCGTTTTGTCGTGACATTGGAGGCTTCATGGGCCCTATTGGAGCGCCAGGAAGCCGAAAAGGCAAGAACGCCAAAGGTTTTGAAAACCCCCAAGGGGGGTCCAGCGATGTTCCTCTTAGGGCCCTCTCGGGAGGGCTCTCGGGGGTCTCTTGCGGCGTCTTGTAAGCGCTTGGGGCCGTTTAGAAGGCTTCGTAGCCAGTCTTGGGGCCTTCGGGGCCGTCTCGGGGCGCGCTTGGACCCTCTTGGTCGCTTCTGGCAAATTCTTCCATTTGTTTCGGGTAGTTTTGGACGGGGTCACCGTTCCGGAGGCCCAAGCGGAGCACCCCAGGCGCGCTCAGGAGCGCTGGGGAAACCGGGAGCTGAATTCACGGTAGCAGACCTAGAGGGGGTTTAGCTCAAGGTTGGCAGCAGGGGGTGAGCCCGTTTTGAGGCGGATACTTCTTTATTCAAAGGGCCGTCAATAGCCATTCTCCCTGGCCCAATCCGAGGCCCTACCCACCTGTACGTCCCCATGTTCCCCTGGACAATCTCCGAGACCTCCCGCCCTCCCGTGGGCGCCTCCCCCTCCCTGGGTCCTCAATCGGCGCCTCCCTCCTCCCCTGAGATCCGGCGTCGCAGAAACGCGGCAGACCATCACAATTCACGATAGGGGCCCTGAACACAATCTTTCTGCAGCACTTCTCGGGCCAGATGTGTGTGAGGGTCCCTGGGGCCCAAGCCTGGGGAACGACGCCGGGCGTTAAAAAATGGCAGCGCCCGGACATCAGAGTTGGTCCCTCCCCTTCCCCTCAGAGCGCCCTGTCTGCTCACCTGGAGCCATTGTGGCACGACGGGCGATGGGCCCACAGAAGCCCGCAGCCCTTGCGGTCCCCGCCGTCCTCTCTGCAGGCCTGTTGCCAACCGGCATGCCGCGTGAGGGCGAGGCAGCGACAGCGGCCATGAGCGTCTGCAGGCTGTGGCTTGCCGGCTGGTGTGAGTTCGGCGACAGGTGCATCCAGAGCACAAAAGCAGCTGCGTGAGCGTAACCTCGGCAACACCCCAACATACTTCTACTATATGTGCGTCGCTCCCCCAGGGGCGACGCGCGCACCGAGAAATCTTCTAGTATATGCGTCGTGGCGGGCGCTTTCTGGCCACACCGCTCGGGAAACGATATACTACAAGATGGGTATACTATATGTTCGGGTCGGACGCGCGCCTCCAAGGAGAACATCTAGTACTAGTATGTCTTTGTGCATCCCATAACCAGCAGCGGGGGCCCGCGCGGATCTCCTGGGCCCGGGCTGGGCCTCCCCGGGCGGCGCGCTCCGTGCGCCATGGCAGGGGGGGCCCAGCGCCGATTGCAGGCAGTCCGCGCGGACCCTCGAGAGGTTGTTCGGCGGCGCGCCCACGGGAGGGGGGGGGCAGAGGGGGTGGGCCTTCTCAGGATCGGGCGAAGAGAACTATGCTGCACATGCACCGGTCCTGGCCAGGCCCATCCTTGGCCCCAGGATCGGTGCATATGCCTTCGTGGCCAAGGCAGGAGGGCGTATGCACCGATCTTGGGCTCAGGGTTGGGCCTGGCCAGAATCGGTGTATGTGCATAGTTCTCTTTCCTCTATTAGGAGATCAGGAGGCCTCCGGCCCTCTGAGAAGCTTCCGGAGCCCTCTCCTGGAGCCGCAGGGATTCCCAGACGGCTGGGGCAGTTTCTGAGGAGCGCCGCCGGTTCGGGAGTTTATGCTCGTGCCGCTGTTTTTTTCCCTCTGCGCATCTTCTCCCACGCTGTCCTGCCGCGGGGCCCGCGAAAGGAGGTCATCGACAGCAGGCCCGAGGGAAGGAGAGGCGACACCACCACCACTGGGGGGGGGGGGCCAACTCCAGCAGGGAGGCACACCTCCCCGAGCTGGGGATGGTGGACGTCTCGAGCGAGAGGGGGGGGGGACCGCACTTCCAGGAGGACCCTCCCTGGCGCCAAGTGCTGGTGGTGTCGCCCCTTCCTCTCTCCTCGAAGGGAGACCATCGGCAGCAGGGCAGCCAAGGCCCAGAGTGCGCCGTTCTGGCCCGAAACCGACAGCGACTCCTGCAACGGCAGCTCCACGTCGAGCCACGGCCACTCCAGCTCGGCGAGCAAGACGCGGAGCTCAGAGAATGAACGGGCGAAGAACCCTGCAAAAGTTACCCCAAACAGCGTTTGCATTTTGGGATTCTTATTTGTCTTCGCCTCGGTGGCGGTCCAGCCGGCTCCGTCGCCGCCTGTCGCCGCGCCGCTGTGGCGGCCCGGCCGGTTTGTCGCCGCCCGTCGTTCCGTCGCCGTTGGTCCCCCGTGGCGGTCCAGCTGGCGCGTCGTTGCCCGTCGCCGCGCTGCTTTGCATTGCCAGTTCGTTCCATTGGTTTTCATTGCTGTGATGTTTGCATCGATTTGCATCGCCGTGCATCGCCTTGCACCTTTTCGCATCGCGTTGCATCGCATTGCCTCGCTTTGCATCGCGTTGCATCGCATTGCTTTGCATTGGTTCGCATTGCGCTGCGCTGCATTGCATTGCTTGTTGCATTGTCGTTTGCAATGCTTTGCACCGCATAGATTGCACCACATGGATTGCACAATCTAGATTGCACCACATTCATTGCACCACCTAGATCGCATCGTAGAAAAGGCAAGGCATCTATGTTTGGTGTCCACGCTGGCTACCATAGACGTTTCCGCCATCGCGGACGTCTGTCCCAGGGGCCGCCGTGAAGTTCTGGCGTTCAAGGTCGTTCTCGGCGGTTCCCAGCTTCAGGATGCATTCCAGCAGCCGCGCCTCGCCGAGAGCATTCTGGGGCTGCCCGGATCAGCCCGAATGGCAGTTGGAGACCCGGTTTATGTTCCAAAAGGTAAGTGACCCACTCCGGTTGCGAAGTTTATACCTATACGTTGACGGTGTTGTACCGTTCTTCGCCCGCACTAGGAAGACGCAATAACCGCGTGCCCCGGATGATAAAGTATACATTTTCCCCTTCCCCAAGTATTCCCGGCCAATGCAGAATTGGTCGGGGGAGAGTGGCGGCAAGTCTGAATTTTACTATCGCGGGGGAAAGTTGCGAATCGAAGTTGCGATCTTCTTATGTTGACTTGCAAGAGATTCCCATGTGTGTCCAGGTTATCAAATGTTATTCAAAACCATCCTGTGGTGATGGGTCCTCGTTTTGAAGAGAAACAGCGCCCCGCGTTCCGTCCTCATCCCGCTGCCCCCTCCCTTCTCCTCGCATCATAGTCATCATCATCATCGTCGTCGTCGTCATCATCATCATCATCATCATCACCCTCACGAGGATCGTGGCCCCGTAGGAGCTCCACCGAAGGCGCCAGCAGCAAAGTGCGCATGGCGGCCTCGGGCCATTTCGGCACACCCCTCACGAGGATCGTGGCCCCATAGGAGCTCCACCGAAAGCGCCAATAGCAAAGTGCGCATGGCGGCCTCGGGCCATTTCGGCACACCCCTCACGAGGATCGTGGCCCCATAGGGAGCCCCACCGAAGGCGCCAGTAGCAAAGTGCGCATGGCAGCCTCGGGCCATTTCGGCACACCCCTCACGAGGGTCCTGGCCCCATAGGAGCCCCACCGAAGGCGCCAGTAGCAAAGTGCACATGGCGGCCTCGGGCCATTTCGGCACACCCCTCGCGAGGATCATGGCCCCATGGGGAACTTCACCGAAGGCGCCAATGGTAGGGTTCGCATGGCGGCCTCGGGCCATTTCGGCACACCCCTCACGAGGATCGTGGCCCCATCGGGAGCTCCACCGAAGGCCCCCAGTGGCAGGGTTCCCATGGCGGCCCCGGGCCATGTCGGCACCCCTCACGAGGATCGTGGCCCCATAGTTGCGCTGCTTCAACAACCGCGCCTGGGCGTCGTACTCCGCCTTCTCGACGTGCACCGACACCTCCTCCCTCATGGCTCTCAAAGCCCTCTCCTGCTTCTGCTCCTCAGTCAGAGGGACGCCGTCCTTGTCGTCGTCGGCGCCCGCGAAGACGGCCACGAACGTGTTCCTGAGCATGTCTGCCTCCTGCGGGAAGCCGTGTCCACATAGGGAGCGCAGGCGAAGATGGTATTCACAATTGCGGTATTCATAATTGCATATGGTTGGGTCCCTCGCCAGGCCGAGGTTTTATCATGGATACGGCCATTGTTACTACTACTACTACTACTACTACCACTACTACTACTACTACTACTACTACTACGGCTACTACTACTACTACTACTTCTACTACTACCACTACTGCTACTACCACTACTACTACTACTACTACTACTACTACTACTACTACTACTACTTTTACTACTACTTTTACTACTACTACTACTACTACTACTACTACTACTTCTACTACTACTACGACTACGACTACTTCTACTGAGACCACTACTACTTTACTACTACTACTACTACTACTACTACTACTACTACTACCATCACTACTACCACGACTACTACTACCACTACTACTACCACTTCTACTACTACTACTACTACTACTACTACTAACTACTACTACTACTACTACTACTTACGACTACTACGACCGCTACTACTACAACTACTCTTACTACTACTACTACTACTGCTACTACTACTACTACTACGACTACTACTACT